CCCTTGGGGCGTCGTTTCTTCCGTAAATATCTCTTGTTGGGGGGAGATTGCTTGGTCGTTCGTTGGAATGGCCGGTTTGTTCCTCCATCTTTGCTCTTTCTCGCTTCTATCTAGACAGGCTTCTTACCTTCTTCGTTGTGTCAACCTTCGTTTTGGTCATCCTGTCAACTAAATATGTGATGAGGTTCTGTCGACTCTTATAGAATTCTGTCGACCTAAAACTGTAGTGAGGTTTGGTAGCCTCTTGTAGAATCCCGTCGACTAACTATGTGATGAGATCCTGTCGACTCTCGCTATACTGTGTTGACCGAGAGGAACAGTCATAATAAGGAGTCTTCCAGTACCTCTCTGCACCTTGGAAGACCCTTTTACAGTTCTCACAAAAAACAGGCAGTCGTGGTCGAGGCAGAGTGGAAAGCTTTGGAATGTCCATACACAAAAACGAAGACACAGTTGCACTAAGAAAGTTCCGTGAACAGATAAAAGTTGAGCAAAGAGAGAGAGAGCGAAAGATGGAGATAGAAGAGTTCTTACTGATCTACATGGAAGATGAGGTGGACCTGGGGTACAACCGACGAGGGCTCACGCAGATGGTGAAGTGACTATTTTTGGCTAAAGACGGGGGCCTTTTATATATTTTCCGAGAAAGGGAGTGTTGCATTTCAACAGATGTGAAGAGTGTGGATCGTCTGGTGAAATTCTAAACTGGCGCCGTGGCAGTTTCCATCTTTAGACCTTGTTGTTTTGTGACTTCCATCTATCTCGATTTAGACGTTATGACTTCTATCTCTTGCTTCAGCTCAACTCTTAATCTATCATAGAGTTTTATTTATTTATCCTCAGTTTGTACAAAGTACATTACATAAGATGATGTAATGACACATGTCAATCATGCGTATAATCATTTACAGATGTGTTTCAATTATACAACATAAACATCTTGTTAGAAGTTATATATAATATAGGGTTGTTGGTTTAAATTACCATAGGCATATATTTTTATTTAATTATAAAGGTATTTATTTTTATCAAAGCATATATATTTAATTTTGAATATTATTTACCAATATATATTTTTAAAAAGCATATAATGACCGCTCAAATAAGCATTTTATATGGCAGAGCGCCATCTAGTGGAACAAAAATTAACTAGACGTTGATTTAACTAATTCCGTGATATTTGGCCAACCCCTTTTATTGATAAATCAAGAAAAGGCAACCAGGTAAGCGTTTCGGGCTATACCTCTACGTCCAGAAATTTCTTCCTAGAGGCTTCCCGAGAAATCAATAAATGGGTATTCAAGTTCGAATTCGCCTAATTATGCTGATCATGAAAATAAAGAAAAAAGGTCAGGTTTGGTCGTAAACACCCATTATGTGTGTATCTCACTACTCCCCAAACTGCTTTTACTTGATCGTGCAACTGAAGGTGCTGATAACATGAGCCACAGCTATCGAATTAAATATCAACTGACACATGGTGGATTATCAATTATTTTCTGGAATAATAAAAAATGATGATTAGTTGAAATTTATTCCTATACCTGACGCAAGCCATCAGCAATTTTTAATTGCAATATCAGATGATGCTTTTTAAAATTTAAAATTTATTCGGGTATATATTATTATTTATATATTAAAAGCGTGCATTTAGAAGTGTTACACAAACTAAATTTTAAGATTTTCGACTATAAACAAAATGGAGTTAATTGCTTTCATTTCAAACACTAAACCAATATCTCCACGTGCGAGGTAAAGCTTTGATTGAATACATATATAAATCAAGGAAGGCATATTCAGACAAGGAGCACGTGAGATTTTTAGATGACAGAGCGCCATCTAGTGGAACAGAAATAAGCTAAACGTCGATTTAGTCTATTCCTTGTTATTTGGCCAACTTATTTTTTTGATAAATAAATAAAAGTCAACCACGAACTCGTTTCGGGCTGTTGGCCCTCGTCAGCGTGGCGCAGGCTGTACCTCTTTCTAGGATCAGAGTTCCCAGAGGCTTCTTGAGAAATCAAGAAATGGGTATTTAAAGCCACACTTGCGTAAATACACTGAACATGTGGAAAAATAGCTTTATATCTAAATGGTATGTTCAACAGGATTACGCACGATGACACGGCAAAGAGTGATCTATATAACGGGGAACACGAGGGCGAAAGAGAAGAATTTCTTTTTTATATCCCTAACGTTTAAAACACGAGATTTCAACCTCTCTGTTCCTCAACACGTGGAAGACAGAGGAGCCATCTCCATTCTGGTGCAAGAAACCTACCTAGAGCCGTCCGTTTTCCAAAAATGTTACGTCTGTTAAAGAACAAAGTTCCAAGAGCTAGTATTATTAACGTGAGTGGAATCAGGAAAAGACACACTCCTCCGTCGTAATGCCTACCTTCATACAGCAGCAGTTAAACTGAATAATGTTCTCGTTAAGCGACGTTTCATATTCTACGTGATGTATAATGTTGGGGGCGGTGGATCCACATCAGCCTCTACTGATTTTCTTTTCTTTTTTTAATTTATTATTTTATAACTTTGAATATTGAAACAGGGGTTTTAATATATGTGTGAATATGTTCTAATCTCTTCTCTACGCGGTTTTTTACAATAAATTATGTGATGTGACTCCAGGCCTTAAAGTCACATAAATAAAGGTCGCGCCTCTCCCGTCATTATCCTCCGGGAAAAATTTACATATTCCATAAAATGCTCATGTGAGCGGTCAGGGGATATGCGTTTTTATTTTTATCATTAATACCTGACTTTTCCTATTTTTCTTACCTTTTTACTCATTCATAGCGTGATTACGCAAATTTGTGCCTTGAATAACCATTTTTGACTTCATGAAGCCTTTTGAACAAAATATTTGGTCGTAGAGGTACAGCCTGCAACACGCTGACTAGAGCCAACAGCCCGAAACACGTGCGTGTTTGGCATATCTTGATTTATCAAGAAAATGGGCAGCCTAAACATCATGGAACAAGCCTAAATTAACGCTTAGTTTGTTCCACTAGATAGCGCTCTGAAAATTGAAATGTTCATCTGTGCGATCATGAAATAACAACTCTAAAATACATGCACATGGAAATTTTTGCTGAGAGGAACCAGAAATTATGGTTTCCAGATGGGCGCTTCTCAGCTTGCCAACGCTGGTGTTGTGGCTTTGTCACCTAACCTAGGCCGCTAATTTGTGGCGTCGGTCTTAAAGGAAGAGATGTGTGACCTTTATATATGTTATAATATTTTTTAAGTGATGAATTGCTCTTTTTGATTTTTAATAGAGATTATATGCCGATTTTACATGAATATATACATACTAGCGAATGTTCCCGGCTTCGCCCGGTTTTTACCCGAGTAAAAGTTTGCCTAACGAACATTTGTTAAAACGATTCTAGCAAACATTCAATCCCTACTAATCTATACTTGTCTCTACTCTCGATAATTTGAAAATTTTCCCGGTCCCTTGAAAAATACTCGATAAATTGAATAAAATCAATATTAATTGGTCCCCTCGGTAATTTGAAGTTGAAGGAATAGTATCTTGCCACAAACGAATATTTGTGAATAACTGTATTTAGCGAATGTACCCGGCTTCGCCCAGTTTCTAACCGAGTTAAAGTTTGCC